ATCGGTTGGCCCCTTCCCATGTGGGTGTAAGTATCCCTTGAGGGCCACAATGGAGCCAAGCTGTGGAGGAGAATCTCAGCCAGTCCTGCAGGAGAGCTTCCTCTCGGCTTTGTCCTGCAGTGGTCCCCAGAGAAACTCCTCTTACTTGCCTCTTACCATATGAGTTCTGCAGGAGAAGACTGAGTGCAACTGCAAAGCAGGACAGAGTGAAGGACTGGAGTGGCTTCACTCTACCTTGGAAGGGAAGGGGCCTGGTTCACTTGGCAAAGCATCTTTGAAAGCATCTTTTGTTTGAGGTTGTATCAAATGAAAGCAGTCCTGGGAAGCTTCACAAACCACTTGTAACCAGCCAGGCTAGCAATAAAGGTGCTGCTGGAGAAGAGGTGCAGCCTAGTGTTTAGATGCCTTGGCTCCTTCAGCCAAACAATGCCTAAGTGTCAGAGATCTGTGGTATACGTTTTTCTTGCTAAGGTTGTTTCCCAGCTTTTTTATAGTGTGCAGCTTTGTATTTTTACACAGATTAATATCCTAGAAGCTGTCCAGTCTAAATTTATAAAAGTGAGACTTGCAGTTCCAAGATGCATCAAGAATGCCACCTTACGGTTAGAGACAGCTTTGGTTTCTCTGGGTGACAGAGTCTGCTTCCACTCCTTAATTTCTGGCTAAAACTGATTCTCCCCCCCCCCCCGGTGGGTCTGGCTCCACTGGTGCTCAGGCTCCATTTTAAATCAACCTGGCTAACGAGCTCATAGCAAACTCCGGTCCTTAGGTCTCTCTTTGGGAAGCCTCAGCCTGTTTCAAAATGCCAGAGTCCTGGGACCTGCATTCCAGATTTTGAGGCAGATGCGAGTCTTTGGTGATTAGCACCCTCAGCAGCCACTCGTTAACAACTCAATAGAAGAAAAAACCCTGCCTAACCCCCAGGAAAATACACCCCCATCCTGCCACCAAAACAAGCCGCCACTCGTTAACCCAACCCCCCCCCACCCCCTTCAGGTACCCTCGCTGATCTCTATAAATACCCACAAAAGGGTCACATCATCCTGGGGACAGAGAGAACTGATCCTGTCTGTGCTCCTCGTCTCTGAAGATGCCAGTCACAGATGCTGGCAAAATGTTAGGAAACAAACCTTCCAGAATACGGCCACACAGCCCGGAAGACACAGACCAGCCACCGTATTCCAGCCGTGAAAGCCTTTGTCAATTTTTTTTCCTTTACATAATTCATTTTTATTTCCATTTCTCTTCCTGTTAACATAGATAATTGCCATTGTAGAGTTTAATTTCTTGAGAGATACTTGTCTTCTCTGAAGAATTCTTTAGTTCTTATCTCTTTATTTCATCCAAAATAGCTTCTGTTTTCTCTAGACTCTTCTTTTTAAATTCACTGTTATGTTGTATAAAATGACCTCTAATAAAAGCTTTACTTGCATCTCAAACCATTTGTAAATCAGTCCCTTTACCTAAATGATGTTCAAAACATTCTTTTCATTTCTTTGTACAAGCCTCCACTATTACTTCTTTCTGTAGCAACTTTTCTTTCAGTCCCCATCTAAACGAATTAGATTTTCTTTTGTAAATTAAACTCACAGGATTATGATCCAAAAAAGTCTTTGGTAATAGCTCTGCTCTAGAAACTTTAGCCACCAAATTCTTGAAATCATGTCTCTCCTTGAAAAAGATCTATGTTTTTCAGAAAAGTAAGCATACTCTCTTGAAATGCTATTTTCCTGTGTCCATATTATATATCAACTAGCCCTAAATTGTCCATCAGATTAAAAAAAAACTTTTGGTAATTTGCCTTGCGTAATACTGATATATTTTTCAGAAGTTCTGTCCAGTTGTGGGGAGATCTCTCCATTCCAATCCCACATCAACTACTTATTTTCATAAGAAAAAATCCATTCTTCTGTCCATAAGTCATTTATAAAACACTGCTTTGTCCTCATTAGGGACATAAATTCTATCATACCATAAAATCTAAAATCTATCATACTTATCAGTCAGTACACATTCTGGTTTTAGTTGGGGATTAATATATAAAACAACTCAATTTCTTTTCTTTTCTTTTTTTGTCATTGCAGAAACAAATTCTTCACCCAAATTTTTATGAATCAAATATTTTATGTCCTTTTTTTCTAATATGTGTCTCTTGTAAGTAAATTATATCTTGTTTTAATTTTTTGAAATAATGAAATACTTTTTTTCTTTTGAGGAGCATTTACTTCATTTATACTCCTTATTAAGCATTATAATCCATCATCAAGCCAAAGTTAGTGGTTTCCATTCTTTAAGGTAATAGTTATTTGAGTTTTCTTTTAATAAGCAAGTCAGTATCATTTTCTGCCATTTCCATCAGTTTTAACAGCCATTCTTGTATTGTTGGTAATGTCTGGGTTTTCCAAAATTGTGCATAAAGAAGTCTTGCT